CATTTGATATTGGGCCTTATCACTTTGTTGAGCCATCTCATAATTCAAATAATTGAACCGATCAATCATCTCCCTGTCTGTGTTTGATGTCGTGGGCTGGCACAGATTAGCTGCCAGGTTTGACAGCCATCAACCCTCCCCGATCCTTGCGTGAAGCTCTTTGAGCTGTCTTAACACGATCGGGCACTCTATTAAATCCAAGCCCTGCATTTATTATTCTGTCTCTTGCCACGGCACTATGATCCATAGATGAGCTGAGTGTTGGGACAGGACAAAGCCTTTAGTGCTATTATTTACCGGGCACAGTGCTTGTAACCCAAAGACTATAGTGTTGCTTGCGACTAAATTCACATTGGTTCGGCCATTCGGAAGGACCCGTTCAGGTGGGAGGTTAAAGATCCCGCGACTCTATTCGAAGAGAGAAAGGAGTTTCTCTCTCTCTATCTCTCTCTCTCTCGGGCTAACATTCCCCTAAATAAAATGAGTCACTCACTCCATGGCTAAATGCGCGACACTGCTGTGCGCAAACGGGCTGCTGAGTCTCACCCGCAAAAACACACTCTCGGTCCACTTTGCAGTATATCCTGTGAAGCGCTTTGAGACGCCTTTACAGATCCTTGAGCCGACAAGAGGCCTGAAATTTATCCTTGAGCTTGTTTTGTCTCAAACGTTAAACATCGCGTTGAATTGTGGGCAATTCTCAAAATCGGTCTTAATTTGGAAACCGTTTCCCCCCTCCTCCCCCCCCCCCCCCCAAACGAGGACTGGATTGGAGAATTTTCCGTAATACCGGGTGAGATTTTGAAGATTAAAACAGTCTCGCAGGCGGAATTCTGGGCTCCCAAGTCCTCCCCGGAGTTAATGACAGGAGATACTGTCAAGGTTTGTTCATTAAGTACAAGAATATTCTTCGGCTAAACATTTACTTTTGTTGTTTCTCTGTGGGTTGACTCATCATCGCTCATCAAGGCAAAACAGCTCAAGTCAGCGAATAGCAAAACTAACAGGATGCAGGGCTATATTTCCTAATACCTTTGAGGTCTGTTGAAAGTCATACTCGATTTATAAAGTGTTCTTGTCAGTCTAAAGGCGGCATATAGTTGCGGTGGCCACGACATAGGGTGCAAACTGAGACTCATTTTATCCCCTTGACAATAGTAATAAATGATCCGTCCATTTGATACAGCGCCTTATCACGTCTTCGAGACATCTCAGAAATATTTCTTTACCCAGAGAAATGTAGTTGACGACTGGAACAGCAAGGTTAAAGGGTGGCTGAGGCCAGGACATTGAACTCATTTAAGAAGAACAGCTTGATGCTGTGATGGGAGGAGAGGGGTGGTAGAGTGAGAGTTCTTGGAAGGATGACAACAAAAGGACCGATGAGCCTCTTCGTCCTAACCAATCTTGTGTAATCCTAGCCCTCTCTTTTAGAAGCTATAATTGCCTCTGTAATGTTTACAACCTTTGTCCGTGCCAACGTGTCTATAACTTTAATTGGCGTAATCAGAAATGCAGTTTCCAGCATGAGAGTTGATAAGAGTTGTGATTCGATCTGTTCCTGTGACAGATTTCTTACCCGGATCACAGCCCGTAATGCTTCAGGGCTCCGCAGCAGACTTAGGTGTTTTAACAATCTGCTCCATATTTTCCCGTTAACTCCTGTGAAATACACCTCTGTGGCAGTCAGAAGTGGACAAGAGTGGATTAAATGAGTCTCAGTTTCCTGGTACTCGAACCCGCCCGCCCTGGTAGCCCAGTCGTTAATTCCTCTCTTGAATTTCCAACAAAATGCCTCTTGACATCTGTCCCGAAATTGTCCTTTGCAACCTTATCTTTTGAGCGCGAAACTTCGGGTTCCACTCATGCCAGTTGCTCCTCTGACGTCTTTCCCTAGTTCTTTCATCCGCAAAGTTCAATGTGGGAGAGGAGAGGGGGTGGAGAGAGAGAGAAAGAGAGAGAGAGAGAGAGAGAGAGAGTGGGGGAAGGTGGCTGCAACTCCTCCCGCTGGCAGTGAAGCCTGACCGAGCTCCCAAATATTTCAGGAATTCCAGATAATCCCCTGGAGTCTGAGTGTCATGACCGATCGCTCCCAGCCTGGCTCCAGGCACACTCTTGTGACTGGCCTGCACCCGCTTCGTTCATCTCCCCATCTGACCTCGGACAGAGAAGAGGGAGTCACTGTATCTTGGCTCGTTTACGCCGGACCACCCCCCACAAACCCCCCCCCCCACCCCACATCCCCCCATTGCTGAAAGAATTGCTTGAACCCTCCTTTTGTTGCTACAGCAATGCGACTCCGGGCTGGGTGCTGACTTGCCACGACATTTCTGAGCGTTTTAATTGCGGTGTTCGGATCAGTGGCTGCTTTTAGGAATCCTTTCTAATCCTCGGATGTTGATAACACGCTTCACCATGGTTACGGGGGGAAAGAACCTTTTCTTGTGCGTCTCTTAAGGTTGTTGCACTGCACTGGACTGGGGGAATCCATCAAATGTTCAATCCCTGTTTTTTAAACTTTAATCAAATAATCGCTGCGTTCGTTACAGTGCCAATAAACCGTCTCAAAGCGCTCCGCGCTGAATTGTGCTGAAGTGTAGTGACTGTGCAATTTTAGGCAAGCTCGGCGGCTAATAAGTCCGCAACAACAATAATAATAATAATAATCCTTGCATTTGATATAGCGCTTTTCACGTCGGGAGGACGTCCCAAAGCGCTTCACAGAACACACTGTAAAGTGAATTGACTGTAAATTTGTGGGCGAACGCGGCAGCCAATTGCGCACAGCAATGTCCCACAAACAGTCGTAGATTGAAAATGACCAATTTATTATTGTTTTGGGTTTGGAGGGATTATCATTAGGCTCTGTGTGGAGTAAGGAAACTTGCCCAAGGTTTGGCCCTCTGCCTGGAATTGAACTCAGGTCTCTCACTTGCAAAGCGAGTGCTCTAACCACTGAGCTACAGGACTCCACAAACAATGACCCACAAACAGCCGTAAAACAAATGCGCAAGCGATTTATCTGGAGGATGTCGGCCAGGACACCACGAGAAACTGCCTTCTCTTGATGAATCATGCCACGAGATCTTTGACGTCCACCAGAACGGGATTAGATGGGTTTCTGGAGTTGAGCTGCAGATCAGCCACGATCTAATAGGATGGCAGAACAGGCTTGAGGGGCTGAATGGCCTCCTTCTGTTCCTATACCTCAGCCAAAGGATGGAGTCTCCAACATCGCAGGCTCCCACCCCCCCACCCCCCCCAGGCACTGACCGCTCAACATTGCTTCTCAAGCTGATTGCTTGCTTGGAGATTTATTCTTCCAAACCGTTTTTCCTGTTAGTTGTTTTTTTGAGTTATACAATTGGATTTGGGACCTCATTCTCGTTGATGTCTTTGCTCTATCACAACATCTCTACCGGAATGGCAGTAATTATCCCAATTAGTGGGCGTTTCTGGAAATGCAGCGGGAAAATGATTAGGACTAATCTTGGCTCCAGTTGTATTCCATCTTCGAAACTACAGAGGTCAAGATAATTAAGGGAGGACTTGTGTGGTCCTCAGTCCATTGCTCCCTGTGTACACACACACTGGGGGCTGTAAGACAATTGTATAATCAATCAAATGCATCAAAGACATTCTATTAAAGGCTGTATTTTACAAGGCAAACAAAGAGCCTTGACGTGAATGTTGCATGGTTGGTGTTTTTACTAGACCTGAGCTTTGTGGTGGAAACCTCTGATCTCAGCTTTGCTCTATGTGGTGCTGACTCCCTCAGACAGGGAAATATTAATGATGATAATAACCCTGGCATGTGACACAGCGCCTCATCACGTCTTCGAGACGTCTCAAAGCGCTTCACAGGATATACTGCACAGTGAATTGACTGTGTGTTTTTGTGGGCGAAACACGGCAGCCAATTGCGTACAGCAGTGGCCCCACAAACAGTCGTGGATTGTGTGACCAAATTATTATTATGATCATTTTTTGAAGGAACTATTACCCCGGAAAAGCGATCCGCCAATCGACTAACAACTGGGTTCCTTACTTACTGCTGGGTAAACAGAGGCGTGTGGAGTAAGGAAACTTGCCCAACATTTCGCCCCGCCCAGGAATCAAACCCAGGTCCACTTAACCACTGAGCTCCAGGACTTCGCAAGTGAATGGACTGTATATTTTGTGGGTGACTGTATATTTTCAAGGTCTGACCGCTTGCTCAGCATCGGCGAAACTGCTCGCTCGAGCATGGTCAGCCGAGGCTAATCCAGTGACGAGATGGATTCCACGGTCACCTTGTTTTTGTCGTTTCTCTCTCCCCCCACCCCCCCGCCCTTTAAGGTATCTCTAAGGTGGTTTCAAGGAAAACCGGTCACCTGTGCAGAGACCTTGCGCATGAGATCAATGTGATCAATGACTTTGCAGCCAGAACTGCTGGGTTCAATTGGGATATATGGTCTTGGTCTTGATTTCTTCTCCCCTCAGCTCTCACCCTTTCCCCTTCACCTCAAGGAGGTCTCTGTTCTGATTTCCGAATGTTATTGAGCATTGCAGTGTGACGTGATGTGCCGCGGCACTCGTGACACTACAACGTGATTAATAATAATAATAATAATAATCCTTGCATTTGATATGGCGCCTTATCACATCTTCGAGACGTCTCAAAGCGTTTCACCGAATGTATTGTATAGCGAATTGACTGTATGTTTTCTGGGCGAAGCGCGGCAGCCAATTGCGCACAGCAGCGTCCTGCACAAACAGTCGTGGATCGAGTGACCAATTTATTATTATTATTTTACTTTTTTTCGAAAGGATTATTACCCCGGAAAAGCCAATCGACTAACCACCGGGTTCCTACTTACTGCTACGCAAAACAGGCGCGTGTGTGTGTGTGTGTGTGTGTGTGGAGTAAGGAAACTCGCTCAACGTAAGGTGGAAGTCGTGAGTTTGATCGTCAATATTTTAGATTGCAAACTCACGTGGGGTATTTGTTCTACTTGCAGCGGTCGCACAGAATTCGACCAAACAACCGCCTACGACAACTGCCGAGAAAACCTCGAGCAAGGTTGAGGGGGACACTCCTTCGACTTCCAGTCCTACGCAGGAGGCGAAATCGACTCAGGCGAGCTCGCTCAAGGATACCACGCTCACAAAGCCCGCTCCGCAAGAAGATAGGAGCAATACTTCGGAGGGACCCAAAACAGCCTTCAATTCAACGTCCTGCCCAAACACTTCACTCAGCACGTCCGCCCTCGCAACTGTCACCCCAAGTGAAGTGAACACTCCCGCCCCAAGTGAAGCGAACACTCCCGCCCCAAGTGAAGCGAACACTCCCGCCCCAAGTGAAACGAACACCTCGGTGCCCACCTTCACGCTGACCCATTCAGATCAGACGTTTTCCTTAGTGACCTCCAAGGACAACACGACGCTTCAGAATGCCACCACCGCTAACAATACCACGACCCCCGTTTCAGTCGCAGGTGAGGCGACGAGCAACGTGACTGCTTCAGCCGCTGGTTCGTCAGCGAACGCGACCGTGCTTCTGCCGAATTCTTCCTCCACCGCCATTCCTATGGTGGCTCTGATCCCCGCAAACGCAACCAACGAGTCCAACACGAGTGAGGTGGTGACACCGAGGCCTGAAACGTCCGCTTCCGTCTCACCCGGGAAGGTGTCCCAGTCCTCGAGCACCACCCTTCAGCCTGCAGGTGAGGCCCAGCCGTGTTTTGGGACGTCCTCCTGACGTGAAAGGCGCTATTCGAACATAATATGTTGTTGTTGTTTGCTGTTTGCTGCGGTCGAATGCATTGGTATATCGTCGAATTATGTTGCACCCTCTCTGAGAAGCTGCCCACGTGAAGAACGCTGTATAATTGCAAGTTGTCGTCGTCGTGCTTGAGAGCGCGCCCAGCGTGCTCGGAGGGCTGTTCGCCACTTTGAGCGTTGGCGATAGAGGTAGAACGGCCAAACGTTTCGGGGAAGAAGCGTTTTGGCGAAATAATTGCCAGATGAAATAAGATCAAGGTCCATCTGGTTCACCTTCGACTTTCTCGGTAGTTACAATCACGGAGATGTTAAAACTCCGCAACGTGGAAGGAGACGTTAGCTCATGGGGCGATATGTTTGAACAGTGCGGATACTGACTTTTTTTTAATGGGTTTGGTGTAACGTGAGACCAGGAAATGTCTGAAACTGAAGCTCAGTGTTATATCAATTCTTAGATTAGGAAGAGGTCCAGGTGGTTACCACTATGATTCCTTGTTAATCAAAGAGAGGAACAAACTTCTGTTTCTAGGAATATCTTTGTTATCTGAAGGAAAACGTCATTAAACAAAAAGCCTTTTAAATTAACCCTCGTCCAGGCAATGATGTAAGCGGAACCTGGTTAGTGCCTGAAATACCGTCGTCACTGTTCGATAGGGAACTCGCATTCGATAGGGAACATCTCTAAGCACTTTGCAAATAATTGCTGACTTAGGAGGTTTACCGCAGCTTTGAAAGCCCCAATTCCTTTCCCGGTTCAGGAAACCGCTTTGTTTTAGGCTACACGGCAGCTTCTTAAACAGTAACCGAGGTTCCTCTCCCACAAGATATGTGTTTGTATTGTATTTGATTGCAGTGTGCATCTCTCTCCTTTTTTTTAACCTTAGCCAAAATGCTCGGTTATTAAACTGCCCAGGTTAATAGCGACAGATCAATAGGGTTTTTGTGGGTGAGCTCATGGCACTCGGGTTTCTGAATCAGTGGCTTGTGTCTGAACCAATTGGTTCAGATTTGACGTTTAGGCATTCGGAGAGTGTGGAGCAAACCTCGCCTTAAACCTCACCGGCCTCTAACAGTCACAGTTGCGAGTGCTATTCGGGACAACAGTGCTTATTTCCTGGCTCTTCAGATCTGTGTCGCATTCAGGATAAAGGCGATGGCTAGATTTCGGAGAATCCGAGGTTACCGAGAGTGAATTTCCCTGCACGCGCCTTTTGATTCCTTTTTTCCGAGCTTTGATTGTTATTTCGCCGGTGGCCCATTGTAACTGTTCCTTTCGTTCCGGGTTCGCAGATCACTGTGCAAAGACAACCTGCCCTCCGTACAGCAAGTGTCAGAATCTCTACCTGTCGTTCACCTGCATCTGCCCTCCTGGTCTTGCCTTCAGCTTAAACGACAGCTGCTTACCAGGTAAAATAATCCAAAGCAATAACTTGTCACTACCGTTCGTTGCGCAAATCACTGTTGTAAAGTTGGAACACTCTTCCTCTATCTCTCCGCCTTGACCCCTTCCTACCCCATCTTCCCCTTCCTTCGTCTCATGATCCACCAGTCTGTATTGCAGTGGGTTGGAAGCAGAGCGAGACTCCTTATAACTAAACTGCCACAAAGCAGGCCATATCTAACCTGGGGGCCGAGTTAATTCTGAGACAAAAGCTCTTGAGAAATCCTCGATGTTCAACTCAGAAACTTGACCCCAACTTAGATCTTCCCGAAACATGACCACCGTTATACATTTGTGTCCACACTGACGGTTCTGCTGTGTTTGCCCCCTGTTATGAAACGGAGAACGATCAAGTGGTTCGATCTGAGGCTCCAGGTCATGTGAATCTAGGTGTGACCTGATGGGATTCTGTGCAAAATAAGCCAATGGAGGAACGAATGACGAAGAGGGAAGCGAGGATCTTTATCATGCTTTTGTTTTTGTTGTCATCTGTTAGTTGAAAGGATCTTTCCAGCAGCAACTTGCAATTATATAGCATTCTTTAGATAAGAAAATATCTCAGAGGGTTTCACGATACCCAGAGCTTCAAGCAGACAGAAGGTCACGTACTGGAACATGCCCATGAAACAGGTTTCCTCTTGAATCCCAAATAAATTGAATCCGGGGAGGTGACTTGCGCTCACTTCCTTAGACTGTTCACTGACTGAATGCGGTCAGGATTTCACACGGTAGAACCTTTAGTCATTTGTACAGTAAATTTATCTATTTAAAAGCTTCGAAGAAACACTTTGAGACGAGAAGACTCCAAGCTCTAGTGTTTGGAATCGGATGCCCGATACCCCCGAGGCGGGTGGAATCCACCACCACCTAGCGGAAATTATTGGTCATTACGGATGAATCTGCCCATTGGAAAACGATAAACCCTTTCGCGAGAGGTTTCGTTTCGCCCACAGTCCATTCACTTCGCAGCGTATTCCGTCAAGCGCTTTCAGACGTCTCGAAGACGTGATAAGGGGCTGTATCAAATGCGAGGATTGTTGTTATTATTAGTATTATTATGATTATTGCAAAGACTGTGTATTTTGTCGGGGGAGGTGGGGGAATGAGATCTTCTCCGCTTAAACCAGTTTGGGACGGACGTTTGGAGACTGACTCCCGGGGAGGTGGTAATCTGTGCCAAACCAAACATTTTCTCCAGCAAATGTTTTCCGTACCAGCTCAGAAATATTTGAGCTCCCAACGCAGCTCGCTGTCTCCTGGTAACAAATTGTCCACTATGCTTCACTTGGCCTCCGAGTAGTTGCCAATTGATAAAGCCATTGACGTCCACTCAAAGCCAATTGTTCTTTCACTCCCTGTACGCTCTTGTCTCCACTGACTCGATATTTTTGTATCGGGTGTCGTTTACCATCGCAACCAACCAATTCTCTTTGGGAATTACCTCATCATCCTTTTGGGAGAGATGTTTTGTTGTCCTTTTTTTTTTAGAAATAAACACGGAAACCCTAAAACTAAAGATGATTTTTAAAAAAAAAACTCAACGAAAGTGACACAGACAGGAAATTCCAGTCAAGTAGTGCGGGTGGGTGGGAATATCTCAACCTGTGCTTTTTATGTAATAATAAATAGACTTCGAATTATTTCTGCAGCCAGAATCTTCCCGGGAACTTTGCACTTGAAAAATAAAAAGTTCTCCGAGGCGATGAAGCAAAAGAATTCTAAGGAATTTCATTCCCTTGCCAACAAGATACAGAATTTGGTGAGTTTTTATCTGCTTTCACTTCTAATGGTGATTAGTTTGCCGAGGTGTCAACCTAGACTAGGCGTTGGAAGTCCTGATGTGAGCCCACCATCAGCTGTCAGGCCTTCAGTCTTTCTGATCCCACCGCCTGGGACTCCATCCCACAGTCCCTTCACCAGGCTTCCTCCCTTTTCTCCTTCAAGGCCCATCTCAAGACCCTCCTCTTCGACCGCGCCTTCGGTCACCCTCCTACCCCTACCCTCCCGACCCTCAACCCCTCCTGATCCCAACCACCAACTCGGACCCAAATCCCTGAACGTCCAGCGCCTCAGGACATGGCCTGGAATTTAATTCCATTTAATTTTTTTTGTTACTGTGTTCGGTCAATCAAACGTTGCAATAATATCAATAAAAAGAATCGTATTGTCTGAAATCAACAGACCCTCTTGTGGATGAATGAACACCTGTTTTTTTTTGTCCGTATTATATTCTGTGACGTTATCGCTTCTAATCTTGTTAAACCTGCTCTATTTCCCTCTCCCTCAAACTCCCGTGGCGTGTAGATGAAGAACATTTTTGCAGATGAGCCTAACTACCTGAAGTCGATCGTACGGAAGTTGGAGTAAGTGATCTTAATTTAAGACTGCACCTCAGGAGTGTGGCTAATTCTGAACTTGAACCCAACTGAAAGCTACAATAATCCTCGACGTGCCCTGTTTCCCCTGTTCACGACAGTGCGTTCATACTCTTCTGTGCAAAAAATGGCCATTGTCCTTTTTTTAAAAAAAAACCCAATGCCATTGTAAATATATTTTACTGGTTACACTCGAGTGGCCCCAGTAATTTATTAAACCGACTGCCTTTAACCAAACAATGAACGGATTAGTGATTTTTAAGTCTAATGCACGTGTATTCTGTTAAGCTTTGTATTATAAACCCACAAAATACACAATCACTTCACTTTACGGGGTATCCTGTGAGACACTTTGAGACGTCTTGAACACGTGATAAGGCGCTGTATCAAACGTCTTGAAATGCAGATGGAAATCGGGACTCTTTGTTCTGTAACCCCTATATGTTAAAAAAAGGGAGTTGCTTAACTTCTCACGTGTTGAATCAATAATAATCCTTGCCTTTGATATAGCGCCTTATCGCGTCTTCGAGACAATCTTTCTGCCGGCGCACTTGTGTTTCTTACTCGCTTTGCTTTTTCTCCAGGAAGGGAAGCGTCGAGGTCCATTTGGACACCCTATTCGGACTTGCGTCGAAAGTCACAGAAGATTCAATCCATCGAAAGATCAACAATTTCATTAAGAACTGTACAGACTGTGGCCCTCTGTCGATAGGAGACACTTACTCCGGTAAGCGACAAAAACAGCTTGCATTTATATAGCGCCCTTTCACGCAGAGTAGTGTCCCGGAGGGCTTGACGGTGGCGGAGTCTGACCCCAAGTGTAACGGACTTCTAGTACAGCGGCGGATCCAGGACTGATTCACCCCACAGTGCTTGAGAGCATTTACGTTGACATGTCAGGAAGCAGGTGAACCATCTGTTCAGTCAACGAACCCGGAAACATTCTCCCCCATCCCCGTGAAAAGTTTTTTTTTTTTTTTTTTTTTTTTTTTTTTTGCGTGAATCCCTCTCTACACTTGTTCTTCGAGACTTTTGGTAGCATTCTTTCCGTCTGCTCAGAGCAAGACTATTATTAGCCAGCGATGACTCACTCGTTGCTTTGGGGTTGCAGATTCGGAAGAAAACTGTTGCCAGAGAGGTCCCGAATAAATTGTTCCTCTTTCCAAAATTAATCTGCCTGTTTGAAATTCCACTCGAACAAAACCAGCAGCAACTCGGCTTCATGAAGTTCTTGTCAGACAGAATTCTCGTACGATGATAACTTGTAACCCAGGTGACCGTAGCCACGGCCGAAGAGGAAGGCCCTCGGGCGCGATCCGAAGATGGGGAAGGAGCGGGGCAAGGCGGAGGGATAGAGGAGGAGTGCTCCATAGTTCGGGGTGTAGTGGCTGAAAGTGCGACCGCCGATGATGGAGCAGAAGGCACGGCGGTGGGGGGGGTGCGGTGTGTGGGGGTGGTGGACGTGCAAGAGGCCGGAGGCAGCGGGTTATGGGTTGGGGAGTGAGCTGGTCGGAGAGACGGGAGGTGCCAGGGAGTGAAGGAATTTGAAGTGACCGGCAATAACTTTATATCTCCTCGTCTTTCCCACCCCCCAAAAAAAAGGTGAAAGCATTTGTCATAGAAACTACTGCGATATTAATACCACAAAATGCAAAAACAAAGATGGACTGGTTTCCTGCGACTGCCTCCCTGGCTACTACAAGTTCACTCCGTCTGATCGAAGCTGCAAAGGTGAAGCAAGCCTTCTCTGCTCTGTCGAATCGCTTGCAAGGCCACCGCAAAGAGTTAGCAGAAACTCAAACATTGGAACCATGCCCTTTGATGTAGCGACATTGGGGCCAAAAATAATAATAATTCTGTCACTTCAATCCACGGCTGTTCGCGGGGACGTCGCTGTGCGCAATTGGCTTTCGTGTCTCACCCACAAAATACAAACTCAATCCACTTAACAGTGTATCCTGTGAAATCCTTTGAGACGTCTCTAAGATATAATAAGGAGCTCGATCAAACGCCAGTATTATTATTATTATTCCAACCAAATCTGTCTCTTGAGAGTTCCTAATCGCGAGGGTTGGTTTTTAAATTGTGTTTGAAATTCCCAAAGAAGCAGTGGGTGACTTGTAAAATGCAACAGAAACCCGAATGAAAGAGAGGAGGAGGTGTATTTAAGCCGCTAATGAAATTCTTTGTGCAAAGAGGGAGTTTCACTTTCTTTTTAATCAGAAAATTAATTTCTGCGATCGGCAGATGTCCCACGAGTACAGAAGGCCTCAAGGCTTCAGTTACCGGGTGTTTGTTTGGCTTTGGGTAATTTCCGCTCCTGCTTCTGTTTGCGATGTAAAACAAGCAGAGATTTGACCCAGAATAAGGGGCAGATAATGTTAATGGCCAATAATAATCCATGCATTTGGTATAGCGCCTTATCGCGTCTTCGAGACGTCTCAAAGTGCCGCACAGAATATACTATAAAGTGGATTTTCTGTGTATTTTTTGAGGGCAAATCAACGCAGCCGTTAATTGATGCCTTTCCTGCTCTGATTAGACGCTATTGATCTGGGTTGACAATTGTTTAAAAACACCGTAATGAAAAGGGTTAACACCCCCTTCCCCCACGTCGTTTCATAATAGTGTTCTGAAAAACAAAAGCGCACGCAGTTTAACGCGAGTTTTGCCGGATGTTTTTTCACGACGACAAACTGACCGCGTAGAGTGATAAAGCATAATAATTTCTTTGTGTTTCCACAGCGTGTACCAGCGGATTCAAGCTCGTGAATGGAATCTGCGTAAAGTAAGTTGGCAAAGTAACAATAACAACAACTTGCATTTATATAGCGCCCCCTCCGGCAGGATAGCGTCCCCGAGCGCTTGGCAATGGCGGAGCAGGTCTCTGAGCCGGGGGGGGGGGGTGGTCGGTGACGCTAGGCGCTGGTCGAATAGGAGGATCTTCAGGTGCGATCTGAAAATGGGGAAGGAAGGGGCACGGCGGAGGGATAGAGGGAGAGTGCAGAGCCCAAAGTAATCAGCGAAGTATCTTTTTCTTGAATTATTTTATTCCAGGTGCCCGTTTGGATACAGAGGATTTAACTGCAACGAATGTAAGTTCTTCTCTTCTCTTCCGGGTTCTTCTCCCTCGCTTTCGGTTGAGACGTTAAACGCAGCCTGATTCACTCTGTGCGGAATGTGTCGGGCTGTAGCCCCATTCAATACAATGATGATGGCGATAGTCCTTGCGTGTGATACAGCGCCTTATCACAACTTCGAGACGTCCGTAAAGTCAATCGACTGTATATTTTGTGGACGAAACGCGGAAGCCAATCGCGCACAGCGGCGTCCCCCACAAACAGTCGTGGATTGAAGTGACCAATCAATTCATTATCGTTATANTTTTTTTTTGAAGGAATTATTACTCCCCCCCCGGGAAAAGCGATCCGCCAATTGACTTAACAACCGGGTTCCTACTTACCGCTAGGTAAACAGAGGCGTGCGTGTGGAGTAAGGAAACTTGCCCAACGTTTCGCCCTGCCCGGGAATCGAACCCAAGTCTCTCGTTGCGAGGCGAGGGCTCTAACCGCTGAGCCAATATACCGTCGAAGGAACACCCTAGCATTTGTTTTTCTCTTCTCCAGCTTTCTTGCTCGCGGTTGTGGTGATCTCGTGCGTCCTCGGTTGTCTGCTGCTCCTGTTCGTTCTGATCGCTGCTTGTCTCTGGTAAGCATCCAGCGACTACAAGACGTACTGCCTGTGTCCGTGCAGGAGGCTACGATCCTATTTCGGCTCATTCCCAGCACCGTCTCAGCTCCCTTCCCTCCCTCCTTGTTTTGAAAATCCTTTTATATATAAATACAAAAAAAAATCCCCACCTCTTGTGGCCATGTCTCACCCTGACTCCGGTTCCAGAATAGACCGTGAAGTGAATTGTGTCAAGTGCAAGGATTATTATGAATTACTCCTTTATACTAGGTGCAAAAAGAGTACAAGTAACTCCTCGTGTGGCTCACAGGACTACGTGATGTGGCCTAAAGCAGATGTGCCAAAGATCCCCCGTGTTACGATGAACTGGGAGTCTCACCAGCTCGAAATGCAGGAGAACGGAAGCACCAACAGCCTGACTGACAGCGGGAGGACCGTGAGTAATGTTTTACAGTTAGAACGGGGGAGAGGAAAGGGTGATCCTCACTCGATGACACCTTGCTCTCCATCTTTGGGGTTGACTTGCTCGCCAGTCACCTTCGAAGCCCAACTCAGTGTTTCCTCTCGTGTCCGTGTGGAGAGGTGAGCAGGGTTGTTTCACGGAATCGGCTCACTTGATAATCAATAAATAAATATAATAATAATCCTTGCATTTGATAGAGCGCCTTATCACGTCATCGAGACGTCTCAAATGCCTCCTCCAGCGATGTCCTGGTAGCAGAACGGCAGGTCAATGAAGACCTTCGGTTAAAAACTAAACTCCCAAACTTGCCGTTGAGGTGTTTGGAGGAAGCGTGGGATATTTTCTGCTGAGCGTGTTGAAGCCAAGTGAAGTAGCTCAACACAAATGGGAAACTTCCGACAATTTTGCTCACCGCTGTATTGAATTCACAAGGTCACAGGATTGGTTTGGATGGACAATTTTATTTTATGTCGTGGAGTCCTGTAGCTCAGTAGTTAGAGCACTCGCTTTGCAAGTGAGAGACCTGAGTTCAATCCCAGGCAGAGGGCGAAACCTTGGGCAAGTTTCCTTACTCCACACAGAGCCTAATAATAATCCCTCCAAAAAACAAAAACAATAATTAAATTGGTCATTTTCAATCTATGACTGTTTGTGGGACATTGTTGTGCGCCATTGGCTGCCGCGTTCGCCCACAAATATACAGTCAACTCACTTTACAGTATATTCTGTGAAGCGCTTTGGGACGTCCTCCCGACGTGAAAAGCGCTATATCAAATGCAAGGATTATTATTATTATAATTTGATCTCATCCTTCCGGAATGCCCACCTTTCTGCCTTTCCCATCACAGCCTCAAGATTTTATTACAAGACAACACTAAATAGGGACCAGATTTTGTGGTTGTTAATCACACTAGTTTTCAAATCCCTTCACTCCCTGGCACCTCCCTACCTCTCCGACCTCCTCACTCCCCCCCCCAATCCACCACCCGACACCTCTGCTCGACTGGCACCGGCCTCCTGCTCGTCCCTCGCGCACTCCACCATCGGCGGTCGCGCATCCAGCCACTACGCCCCAAAACTCTGGAACGCTCTCCCTCAATCCCTCCGCCATCACCCCCTCACCCCCCTCCCCTTTTTCAAGTCCCGCCTGAAAACCTTCCCTTTCGACCTTGTTTGCTGTCAACCTCCTACCCCTCCCTCCCCCCGGCTCGGAGTCAGACTCCGCCACTGTTAAGCGCTCTGAGACGCTGCCCTGCGTGTCGGGAGCTATACAAGCGCAGGTTATTGTTGTTAATGCACGGAAGAGATTTCTTTTAACTCTGCATTAATTTGTCTCCTTTAGGCTGAGAAGACGGAGGGCTTGAAGACCTTCAAAGGAAAGCAACCATCTCGATATACGTACCTCTGTCAGGGCCAGGAGAATCCTTATTACATAAGTGACGAGAAGAAGTCGGAATACTTGTAAAGTGGAGAGAGAGAGAGAGGGAGGAGGATTGAACTTTGGGGGTGTCAGTGGTGGAGAGGCATCTAGTTTCATTGTAAATAACCTTGTGTTTGTGCTTCAGGCGCACATCACATGAAAAGCTACTGGAAGAAAGGAAACGTTTAGAATTTTGTACAATTTCGACGGAGTTCTCGGAAAGTCTTGCGGTGACGCTTATTGCAAAACAAAACCTGGTTCGTTGTCTCAGGCAGGTTTTGAGGGTTTGGGACCCTCCAGGCTACCGAAACCTGCGTTTGGCTACTTGATCTCAGATGCTACGAGCCGCTTCATGGCTCCTCTTTGCCTCTTCTACTCCCCTTTCCCCTTCGCCACACAGTCTCTGTACATATATACAGTATAACAAAAGCTTTCTGACTGTCTCGGTCTTAAAAAATGTATCGTTATCCACATGAGATGATGGGGAGCGTTGAACGTTGAATGCCGTTCGATATTGGGGGTTCTTGTGACTAGTCACTGGAGGTGTCAGTATCTTGCGATGGCGGAGGGGGGGGGGTGTGGGGAGCTGAGCTATTAGTATGTCCATTTGTCTCAGAACGTACTGAAGTGTCACTCTTTTTAAAATTAGTTTTGAGCACCAACACCCACTCCCAAAAGTCCCATCTTGGCTGTTGAGCTTCACAAGGAAGGCAGTCAGAGACGGCAAGGAAATGGATTCCCAAATAACACACCGCGGCCATTTTAAGAATGAGTTCTTCTCCCCCTCCACCCCCCCACCCCAATCACCCACCCACCCACCCTCAACGCATCTCGTTTCCGAAATAAAACTCCCAACTAAGTTATTTTTCACTTAATTTAAAGACAAGTTTGGTTTGTGCCGACATTGCCCTCTTCCCTCCCATATGGGTATTGCACCTGCGCAGGGATTGGTTTCGTTTGATGCCGACGTTAATTGCGGGAAATAGTTCCTGAGCCCGACGTTGCGGGGAGAAAACCCGAGCCAAGTTCTTTGAAACCGTTTGATTTGGGTGCTTCGGCCACCAAGGGTTGGAACGTCCCAATGCGGTTAACGTTGTGAATTGATGACTTTGGGTTAGCGATGCGGACGGGAAGACAAACGTGGATTAAAAAACAGCGGCTAATCGGGGCATTCATTCAGTGGACAACAACAAACGGGTTCCTGGAAACTGAACGAGTGTTTGCGTAGGGAAAGGTTCCCCGTATATTCAACATGCCCTTTGTCACTCCTGTTTGAAGATGGTCCGTTTTCTTGCCAACAGAAATAAATTCAACCTTCAAAGCGTTGCACCCCTTTCCTGGGTGAAATCCGTCATTATTCCCTCGAGGCACTGTGGAAAGTTGGCATTCCATCAAGATTTGAAATTCGAATTCGAATAGTCTGGGACTCTATTTTGTCTTTGAATTTCGGGTCGAGTGGATCTTTTTCTTTTGTCTCAAAACCGGAAGCCGTTTTTTTGATCCTTAGAGAAAAATTTTAATTAACGCTGAGGTTTTAAGGATTCTCCCCAAGTTTTTAAATTTTGAGCGAAAATGTCTTACGAGATAAGAGTGAGTGGAATTTCAGACGCCTGTATCGGAAGATAATATATAACGTATTAACTTTTGTGCCCGGCATTGTAAAGCTTTCCTTTTGATTGAATCTGTAGTTTCAATGTTACTTTAATGATTTTCTTTCCCAGTCTTCGATTTTCCCTTGAAAGTGAAGGTGAAAGGTCTTTCGTTTAGTTTAGCAAGTTCTGCTTAGTCCGGTTTCTTTTTAATTGTTTTTAAATAAAAAAATATATATAGAGAGAGAGAGCGAGAGAGAGAGAGAGAGAGATCCTTCTGATTGGAACCGTCAACATTCCACGACTTAGGAGCTGTCAAATTTTAAAAGTGTCGCAAGTTAAAAGTTTGCAAAAGCATGATGATATGATTTGTAAGAAATGCCAAGCTTATGATTCTTCTGAATAAAAAAAATCTAGTTCATCGTGCTTTGGCTGGATACCTTTCTTTTTCTACCGGTGCACATTTTGTGCTCATTTTCCCTTCTGCTTCCCGAAAGGCGGCGAATGATTTGAAAATTGCGAGGTGCGACGGTGCATTACCTCAAAGGCAATAACACGGGCACAGAAAGCCATCGAATCGAAGCTCTGACCTACAGTGGTCAGTGTTTCCCGGTGCCTTATAAATAGCGCTGGGAAAGCTTCTTGGACTTTCAAGAGATTCCTCAAACTGTTTCCCACGTGTTCACGACTTGCAGGGATCCCAAATTTACAGTTCAAAAGCTTGGCAAACGGGGCCTTTATTTCAAGTGTTGCCTCGTCTTTTTTTTTTCATGAAACGTGAACGTACAAAAAGGTTCTTGAAACCCACTGTGGAACGTGCTTTGCTCACGGACGGCGTTTTTTTTTCACTTGAGTGGACTTTGCGGTTGTTTCACAAGTCAAAGCGCGTGTGTGAAAGCTTTATCTGAGAACAGTTAGAAAGAGCAAAGTTAGGAAGTACTTTTTCCCCTCTCTTTATGTGCAATACCTTATATATTTTTCCAGTACAATCAATCGATCGATCAGTAGGTTTATTTTCCTCCTATTTACTTGCTTTGAATTCAATTCCAAAGTTTAGCTTGGGACAGCCCTGTGCATCTATCTTTCCATCTTGTGTGCATTGGCAAATATTTTCTGCTGGAAGGCGGAAAAGATAATCAACGCTTTTGCCTGACGCATTCATCCTTTGAGCGGTTTGAGAAGTTTCGAAGACACGATGAGGGACTATTATTATTATATTATCGTTCTTTTTTTATTCTGCACAGTGCCTCTCTGCTATAGTCCAGCCCAAGGCTGTTTTATCTGCTGTGCCAACAGGATGAGCACTTAAAGTTTAGTGTCTGCCAACAGGATGAGTTCGCTGTTGAATTGCTTGGCAGTGTGTAGTGAGGATGGGGCAAGGACACATCTGATGTTCTTAGAGCTTTAGACTAACCACAGGATCACAAACCACTGTAATACTTGGCCGTAGTTGTCCGTTGTTCCATTATTCATCGTATAAATATTCCGACGGGCTCTGTGAAATCAGTCACTGCTGGAAAATCCACTTAATTGTACGGTGCAACTTTAACTGAGTGACTTGGCTTTTCCAGCGCACGTATGATTGCTTCTGAGTCAAGTTACAATTGCTGAATTGGCTCTCTCGGCTGCAGCATTATAATGAACTGCGAGCTCCTCAAGTCTTCTCTCTCCTCTCATTCGGAACTCTGCAGCTCGTGTACTGTCCCGCACCAGGCTTCGCGACCACGTCACTCCCACCCTCGCCCTCGCTCGCCTCCACTGGCTCCCCATCCCCCAGAGGATCGAATTCAAGCTCCTCATCCTCACCTACAAGGCCATTCACGGCCTCGCTCCCTCCTTCCTCTCCGACCTACTATTCCCCTACTTACCCCCCCGTACCCTCCGTTCCTCTGGCTCCGGTCTGCTCCACATCCCCCGCCCCAACCGTCCTATCATCGGTGGCCGGACCTTCAGCCCCGAGGCTCTGGAACTCTATCCCCCAGTGCCTTCGCCGCTTCCTCCCTTTCCTCCTTCAAGGCCGGTCTCAAGACCTTTCTCTTGGACCGTGCCTTCAGCTCCCCTCTCGACTCTCTACCCCCTCCTCGCTCCCTCCCTTCCCTCCCCTCACCATTTCCCCCCAATGCTCGGGCCCCGACCCAACTGTCCAGCGCCTTGGGACGTCCTCCTGACGTGAAAGGCGCTCTATAAATGAAATCTTGTTGTTGTTGTTGTTGTTGTTCGTGCCATTCTGCCAATTAACTGCACACGAACGAAACCGACAAAATGGTTCTCCGAGAGTGTTTGTAAATAAGACTGAAGTTAGTGTTGGGTTGTGAGAGGCTGGAACGAAATGGCTATTTTCAATGCAATTTTCAGAAGGAGGTTCTTTACAAAATGCCCCCTCCACACTGTCTAATTTGGTGTCCAGTTTAAAGCAAAGAACCAAAGGAAATCTTTCAAGCAAAACCCCGCAATCTTGCACCACATCCCGCAAAAAGTACACTAACTTGTGCCCGAGTCAAAGTGCCTCAGCTTTCGGTTCTTTAGCATTCGGTATCGTGTCGCAAAAATAAAATGGGCGACTTTTTGTGTAGGTTTTACTCTTCCAAAGCATTTTAAGTTTTATGCATTTTAATGCCTTTTTAAAAATGACCAAAGCTGTATTTCTGTTTTGATTTAAATATCGTCGGTTTCTCTCTCTGTATAATTTTACTTTGGATTTCAATAGGTGTGAAATCTTTTAAGAATGTTGAGCAACTGTTACAATCGCTGATGTTCTAACAGAATGATTTTTTTTCTTACAATTGATTGTTATTGTAATTTTAAAATGCTCCGATTGAATAAAAATAAAGAATTTCTTTCTAATTTCCCTCTTTCTTAAGAGTCTTTCCGAGCTTCTTCTGTTAGGCGACCTCGATCGACAAGGAGGATGTTGAAACTTCTCAAAGCGATTCCCGAAAAATTGCTGCCAAGTGTAGTGACTGTATTTTTGTAGGCAAACAACTTACGCCCAACCAGGTTCCATGCAGAACCATTCGCCCACAAAATACACAGTCAATTCACTTTACAGTATATTCTATGAAGCGCTTTCAGACGTTCGAAGACGTGATAAGCTCACGTATAAGGACTATTGTTATAAAGTGATCAAGACACCGGAAGAAACTATTCTTTTTAAACGGTGTCATGGAATCTTAAATGTCCCGCTGAACCTAACTGACAACTTACGGAGGCTACTGCTATGTCAAACAAAAACAACAACTTGCATTTAGATTTCCCCTTCACACAGGGTTGCGTCCCGGAGCGCTTTGTCGTTAATTTACTGTATCCTTTCAGCAAGGACTCAGTTCATCTCAACAACAATACTGGAGTGTAAAATAGGAGCTAAACTAATAACCAAACCCACGATATAGGCTGCCGCTGAATTACCAGTTGGCTTTAATTGAATTCATTTAATTAATAGCATCGTCTCGGCCATTCGTATCCACATTAAGTGTTACCCTGACTTTTCAGAGTGTGTGTGTGTGTGTGTATATATATATATAGATTTATATTCTGCATTCATTGAAATTTCTGCCGAGGTTTAATTGAGCGCAGTCAAAAGCAATCTAGAATACACTGCTTCAAAACTCTCGCTGCCAAAAAAAAAAAGGTTGAATTAAAATGCGCTGTTCGGAGTAAGCCAAGCCTTTCCCCGACTGTTTCATTTGCTTTATTTCTTCGTGTAGTTGCTCTGCGAAAAAAAAATAACAAAATTGCTTAAGAGCTCCGGAATGTCCAGAGGGACTCAGAAGTTGTCTGGTGATATTAGAGCGAATGGATGGGATCCCGATGAACCAAAAAGTGAGAGGTGTGAAGAGATTCCGGGTGTTGGTAAAAGCTGGTGACTCGCTGACTACGAACGGGTGCCATTTGCTCTGCAGCCAATACTATACTTCACCACAATGCAGTCTCTATGCAACAAAATGTCTCTTAGAAAAAAAAATGCCCGAAGCATAGATATTGCCAAATACACAGATGGCGTCATCGAGTCTGAGCCGCTCTGCTTCCTGTTTCCCTCAAAATCACCTTTTTTGTTGTTAAGAGAGCGGAAAGCGCCACCGATTACCGGTGCGCGGCAACTCTTTCGCCCGCAGAATACGCAGTCAGTTCGCTCCGTATAATCCTGTGAAGCGCTTTGAGACGCCCCAACGACCCGATAAGGGGCTTTATCAAATGCGAGGCTTAGTGTCATTAGTATTATTTGTCAAATGCCGCATCTTGAAAAAAAAACACCAGGTCCGTCATTCCTCCGCTGATGATGATCATCGTCGCTCTCTTGTTATCGCTTCCACAAAAAGAGCGGTTCACAAAAATCCCTTAAAACACAACAGGCCTCGCATTCGGTCCCCCCCCCGTCGCCCTCTCCCCCCTGCCCCTCCATTTGCCTCGCGTGCCCCCCTCCTCCCCCCGTGCCCCCCTTCCCCTCTTCCTTCCCCTGTCCCCACGTGTGGCGCCTGAAGACCGGCGCCCAACGGTCTCCTCCTCCGCTGACTCCCCCGAAATCCCCCCCCCGCCCCCCGCAACCCGCCCACCGCCAACCCCCCACCGCCAACCCCCCCCCCCGCCAACCCCCCCCCGCCAACCCGCCCACCGCCAACCCCCCACCGCCAACCCCCCCCCCGCCAACACCGCCACCGCCAACCCCCCCCACCGCCAACCCCCCCACCGCCAACCCCCCCCCGCCAACCCCCCCCGCCAACCCGCCCACCGCCAACCCCCCCACCGCCAACCCCCACGTCAACCCGCCCACCGCCAACCCGCCACCGGCCCCGGCTAGGAGTCGTGCTCCGCCGCTGAACGGAGTGGGCGGGGCTGGGGGGTGGGGTTGGGTTGGGGGGTAAATGCAAGTTGTTGTTGTTGTTGTTGTTTTTGTCGTTGCCCCTTTAAATCGCTACGGTGCGGCGTTTACCGGTCGCCACGGCAACCGCCGTCTGACGTCAGACGTCCGAGCAGGAAGTGGTGGTGTGTGGCGGTGGTGCGGGGGGTGTGGTGTGTGTGGGGGGGATCGGGATCGGGATGGACCTCACGGCTCTGGGGCTGTGCGCGGCTCTGCCTCTGGTCGCCTTCCTGGTTTACCGACGGCTTTTCCGGGTCCGGTCGCCAAACCCTTTCGCCACCGACGGCGGCGGCAGCCCCCCGGGCCCCCTGGTGACTGACCGGGCAGCCAGGAACACCGTCATCCACAAAGGTTGGGTTTGCCCCGCGCCCCCTCCCCCCCTCCATCACCCCCTCCATCACCCCCCTCCCCCCCATCCCCACCATCACCCCCCCCTCCCCCCCCTCCATCACCCCCCTCCCCCCACCCCGTCCATCACCCCCCCTCCCCCCCCCACCCCGTCCATCACCCCCCCTCCCCCCCCCACCCCGTCCATCACCCCCCCTCCCCCTCCATCACCCCCCTCCCCCACCCCTCCATCACCCCCCCTCCCCCTCCATCCCTCCCTCCCCACCCCCTCCTCCCCCCACCCCCTCCATCACCCCCCCTCCCCTCCATCATCCACCCCCATCCCACCAGCATACCCCCCCCCACCCCCACCATCATCCCCCCCCCCCCCCCCACCCCGTCCATCATCCCCCCCTCCCCACCATCATCCCCCCTCCCCACCCCCTCCCCACCCCCTCCATCACCCCCCCCCCCCCACCCCCACCATCATCCCACCCCCCCCCCCCCCATCAATAACCTTCAGGGGTTTGCTTTGCTGGGGCTTTTGAGGCACCTGTTCCCTTCCTTCTCCCCCACTCCCACACTCCCCATCCTCCTCCTTCCACCCCCCCCCCCCTCTTTGCCTCGCTGCTGTGCTGGGAAGGAAGTTAGAGAAGTTGGGGGAAGTTCAATGTCTTCTCCCTCTCTCCCTCCCTCTCTCTCTCTCTCCCCCCCCCCCCCCCCCCCCCTCAGCTCTTGTTATTTCAGTCCAGTTCCTGGTTTGCCAGGTTGTGGTCTGGCTCTCAGTTCATCCCAGTGACCTTTAGTCCCACTGTGAAGCTTGTCCTGCCATCCCTTCCTCCCAGTTTTCTCTCACTTGCTCTCCCTCTCTGTCTCCCCCCCCCCTCCCCCCACCACCGCATTCTCTTTCTCCCCTTTTCTCTCCTCTCTCTCTCTTTTTACTTGTGAATATGCAGTATTTAAACTTTGTTTTCAACACTTGCTCCCCACACACACGCAGTGTGTAAGTCCGTGTGTGTTGAGGTATCTGTTAAACTTTGCTGTTCCCACTTACCTACACTTTAAAAGTGACTCAGTCACTCAGTCCACAACTGTTTGTGGGCAGTTCTGTGCGCAATTGGCTGCCGCGTTTCGCCCACAAAATATACAATCAGTTCGCTTTGCGGTGTATTCTGTGAAGTGCTTTGAGACGTCTGGAAGACGTGATAAAGCGCTGTATCAAATGCAAGGATTATTATTATTAATAATGTTTTTTTTAAAATCTGAAACCCTTCCCAGTCCCTTTGAAAAGTACTACAGAATTTGGCACTGGCAAATCAAATGTCCTTGAAGGGTACATGCATTAATCAGGTCATTAATATGCTGCTGCCATATTAATTCTTCAGATGCCTTGAAGTTCCACCCACTGCTAGCCTGCAAGGTTATTTTGACTTGAGATGTAAGAATATACGGGATTCTGTAAAAATCCTCAATTCGGAAATCGCTTCTCTTTAAGAGAGTCCTGTAGCTCAGTGGTTAGAGCACTCGCTTTGCAAGTGAGAGACCTGAGTTCAATTCCAGCAGAGGGCGAAACCTCGGACAAGTTTCCTTACTCCACACAGAGCCTAATAATAATCCCTCCAAAAACCAAAACAATAATAAATTGGTCATTTTCAATCTACGACTGTTTGTGGGACATTGCTGTGCGCAATTGGCTGCCGCGTTCGCCCACAAATATAAAGTCAATTCACTTTACAGTGCGTTCTGTGAAGCGCTTTGGGACGTCCTCCCAACGTGAAAAGCGCTATATCAAATGCAAGGATTATTATTATTATTATTATTATTAAGAGCGAAGGATCTTTGCATCTGTCAGAACTGTGAAACGTTGGCTTCCAAATTACAGCTGATTTAAGACTTTGCTACAATTTTGTGTGGCCTTATGTTTTAAGACAAAATAATCTCCACAGGCTAAGACTAGGTAGAAGGTCACCCTTGGCTTCAGGAAGAATGGCACTATTCGAAAAGAGAATCGTGTCCTGGCCAACAATCCCCCAGTTAAAAAATTCAGTTTACGGCTCTTTGTGGGACCTTGCTACATATAAATTAGCCGCCACGTTCGCCTCCAAAATCCTACACTTTCCGGTAAAATTCCATGAAGCGCTTTGAAACATTCTGATGAGAAACGTGAAAGTATTATTGTTGTAAAGTTATTGAACAAATGTCAGTCGAGGCTGAATCATTAAAATAATAATAATCCTTGCATTTGGCATAGATCTTTTTCGCGTCTCCGAGACTTTTCCAAGCGCTTCACAGAATATGCTGTAAAGTGAATTGACTGTATATTTTGTGGATGGAAATCATTCGAATGGGAACAGGATATGCATTTGGATGTGTGTGTGTGTGTAAAAAGAAGAAATAAAAAAAATTAAGGGGTAAGAGGCGGCAAGTGGGATTGATTTAAAAAAAAGTGTGACTTAAACCCAGTTGTAGTAATGTAATGTCACCGATTTGATGAGTTGAATTACTGCCTTGATGTGATGAAAAATGTTGTCATTGAAAGTTTCTTTGCTTCTAACACTCCGTACTGCCTTTTCTCTTTCACCCCTTTTCCAGGTTTCACCCTAAATAAGGTGCCGGAAAACCTGGATGCTATCGTGATTGGGAGTGGGATCGGAGGGCTTGGGGCTGCAGCAATATTGGCCAAAGCTGGCAAGCGTGTGCTGGTTCTGGAGCAACATGACCAGGCCGGTGGCTGCTGTCACACCTTCATTGAAAAGGGATTTGAGTTCGATATTGGTAAGAATATCAGGTTTGCCCATTTCAGAAGATCATACGCGGGGTTTGGATGAAGAAAGACCCTTTGGCCCATTTGATCGCGTCCTTCCAGATTACATCCTTTTGCCCACAAAATACAATCAAATCACTTTAGAGTATATTTTGCGAAGGGCTTTGAGATGTCTAGAAGATGTGATGAGGCGCTATATCAATTGCAAGGATTATTATTATTATTAATACCCACCCTACCATCTTCTCATTACAGCGTTGAGCTGTCACTTAAATAAGCCCCAGACACCTTCCCTTCCTGGAGATATTTACCATTTGAATTCCCTGCTATATAAGGAAATGTCTCCTGTTGTCTGCCCTGAGCTTGATTTCTCCTGCCCCACTGCCTTCGGCATAAGGTTTCATATTTGAATTATGTTTTAATATAATTAGTTTATTAGGCTGCCCCCACCTCTCCCAGATTACAGAGTTTCTTAAGACTGTAGTTTTTTGTGCTCTAACTGTATTGTCTTATTCTGTAAATACATTGATTTCAAAGTGTGATGAAGCCGATAGCGTTAGCTATTGTTCTGAGGACCTGGAGGTTAGAGACAGAATGTAGCAATGAATTTCAGTGGATGTTTAGCAGAAAATATTATACAATAGAGGTTTTGCAAGACAAGGAGACATCTTACCCCAGGTGCTGTGCACTCTTTCAGGAATCCATTACATAGGAGAACTGTATGAGCGCTCTTTCTTTCGGACATTGATTAACCAAATCACAAATGGCCAACTGCAATGGGCCAAAATAGATGAGCCTTTCGACACGGTTGTCCTGGGAGATCTCGAGTCCAGACGCTCCTACGCTCTCTACGGTGGGGAACAACAGTACAGAGACTCCCTGAAGAAGCATTTTCCCAAGGAGGAGGAAGCTATTGACAAATTCCTGGAACTTGTGAAGGTTAGTTTTTTGTTAAACGTTAGTTATATTACAGTCTTCCCAAGGGGGCAGCAGTACTTGAGCATAATTAAGGCCATTTCCTTGGTCGGAACATTTGGCGGTTTAATAAATTATAGTACATTGTGTGCTTTAAGGCGCTATATCAAATGCAAGGATTATTATTATTGTTGTTGTACCTTCAATATTTTTGCACCTTTCTCTATTTGTTTTTAAAAATAGCTTTGGCGTATTAGTTTTTTGTTACAATTTTTGTTGTACTCTGATTACCTGCACATTTATATTAATCCTTTGCATTTTATACAAATAGTGCTTGAAACATCAGAATGTCCCAAAGCTTTTCATAGGGATGTTTCTGCAGGAGCAGCTACCTTCCACTAGGTGTGGCTGGGTCATCTGGGTGGGGAGGAGAGAGATTAATGTTGCTTTGCTGTATTTTGTAGAACAGGTTTTGCTTTCCTTCTAGGCGGCTTACAAACGAATACCTGTGATGGCAATGATCAAAATGATTCCTCTCTGGCTGGCCCTCTTTCTCATCCGGACTGGCATCATCAACTGGATCACATCGATGTTCAAACTGGCCGTCACACCTCTTAACGAGGTGGTCAATAAGTTGACCAGCAATCAAGACCTCAGAGCGGTCATGTGCTACATCTGTGGGAATTATGGTACGGCCTTGGGTCAATGCGCAGTTACTTTCGGGGAAACGGAGGTCAAATTTGTCTGGCTGTCCGAGTCAGTAACCCTACTTTGACCGGTAAATTAGTTATTCGCTTCATGGCTCTGTGTGGCCTTGCACAAATTTGGGGTCAGACTCCGCCATTGTTAAGTATTCCAGGACTCTACCCGTCGTGCAGGACGTTATGTAAATGCAAGTTGTCGTTGTGTTTGCCTCCAATACACCATGTGGAAAGCTCTGAGCTCCTGAGAAATGCATTTCAGAGTAAGGCACAGAATTAATTCTCTCTGGGCAACGATCCTAATTGTTACTTATTCAGTGCTTCAAGGCGTTTATTCTGCATGAAAGGTGTTATGCAAATACAAATTATTGCCTTTAGTTCGTATGATGACCTCTGCAGTTTATCCCTTCGCTGTTTAATACGTTATTCTATTTGACTTTTCCACAGGTGGGACTCCTAAGGATGCCAGCTTTCTAATGCATGCGTTGTTGATCCAGCACTTCAAGGCTGGTGGATGGTACCCTATAGGTGGGGCCAGTGAGATCGCATTTCATATCATCCCGGTGATTGAGAAAGCTGGAGGTTGTGTTCTCATGCGGGCTCCTGTTGAACGTATTCTGGTAAATCAGGATGGCAAGGCTTGTGGTAGGTGTCAACTGCTGTTGTCAGAGATTTTAGGAAGTCACTTTTTTATCAGCTTCCCACTCAAAACTTGTCTTTGTCTCTTGTCTCAGGTGTATCTGTGAAGAAGGGTGAGACAGGAGTAAATCTCTTTGCTCCTGTTGTGATTTCTGATGCCGGGATATTTAACACCTATCAACGCCTCTTACCCTTGGCAATACAGAAGAAACCAGGTGCATGGATACTGAAGTTTTTTTTCAGTAATTTATATAGTGCCGATCATATATAGGGTAGCATCTCAGAGCACTTCAAGTTTAGTATATATGATACAGAGAGTACAGCCTGAGAGTTGGCAAAGTTATAGATCTATTGTTTCTCTGCCAACTCATTATCTGATAATGTGAAATTGGGCACTGAGTGAAATGGCCATTCAGCATAATCCCACTGATGTTTCGAGCTGATGCTATAGAGTATAAATGTTAGGCCAATGTTTACCACGAAGAAGGGAAAGCTAACGAGGCAAGGTACACTCGACAAAGTTGCTTTTAAGGCGGGACATGAAGACAGGTGGATGTGATGACTTGTTCTCATTTATATTGACTGTTGTATTGCTTATAGAAGAGAATGTAACTTCTTTTTACCCTGAATGGGAACACAGTGGCTGACTATGGTTTTGCTTGCATGCAGCTATCCAGGCTCAGCTGAAAATGATAGAACATGGAGTCGGAGGATTCAGTGTGTTTGTGGCTCTTAACGGTTCGAAAGAAGAGTTGGGATTGAAAGGACTAAATTATTGGTTTTACCAACATAATAACCTGGAGGAGCTGTAAGTCAGTCTTACCAGACAATGGCAAGCTATGCAATGCTAACTTGTTAAACTCACAGCAACTACAGTTTGCAATTATATAGTGCCCTTCATGGGAGTGTCTCGAAGTGCTTGGCATTGGTGGAGTCTGACCCTGAGCCAGAGGGAGAGGGAGGTGGGAGGTGACCGTAAGCACGATCTTCATCAGTACTCCCAACACATGAGCATTGGCTTCCGCTAGCCTGTGTCTAAATATTTTCCAGAATTAACTGAAGTAGAATATGTCCCTCTGGGGAGAGAGTGCACTCACTCCATTCCAGTCAAATGGGGAATCTCCATGCATAGATGACATACGTATATAATAATCTTTGCATTTGATATAGCTCCTTATCACGTTTTTTGAGACGTCTCAAAGCTCTTCACAGAAGATACTGTAAATTGTATGAAACTCCGTCAGGTTTGGATTCACGAGCATGACAATGGGTTTCCGTGCCTGTGTCAAACCAAAAAAAAAGGCAAAACAAGAGGGGGTGCAGCGTAGATTCACTCGGTTAGTTCCTGGGATGAGGGGACTGACCTATGAGGAAAGACTGAATAAACCAGGGCTATATTTTCTAGAGTACAGAAGAATTAGGGGAGATCTTATTGAAACGTATAAGATTCTTAAAGGGCTGATAAGGTAGACACTGAGGGTCTGTTTCCCCTGGTATGAGAATCTATAACCAGGGGTCAGTCTTAAAATTAAGGGTCAGCCTTTTAGACCAGAGTTGAGGAAACATTTCTTCACTCTGAGGGTAGTGAATTTATGGAATTCACTCCCCCAGAAGGCTGTAGATGCTGAGTCCTTGAACATCTTCAAGGCTGAGACTGATAGATATTTTTTTAAAAATTAGGGGATATGGGGATAGGGCAGGTAATTAGAGTTAGGTCTGAAGATCAGCCATGATCTTATCGAACGGCGGGGCAGGGCTCGAGGGGCCGAATGGCCTACTCCTGCTCCTCATTCTTATGTTTTTATGTTCTTATGTTCTTAAATATATTCATTATTTTTTCTACTGCAGGTCAGAACGATACTTATCACCCAACAAAGAAAATGCCATTGATGGATATCCCCTGATGTTTGTTTCCTTCCCATCAGCTAAGGATCCATCTTGGGATGAAAGATTTCCAGGTAAATGGAATATGTGCATAGTGGACAGTGGACAGATGACATGTTTGTTTAAGAGTTAATCGCACTACTGGTTTGTTACAGTTTTTCTAATGTTTGCCTTGACTAATGCCTTCACGCTATATCGAATGCAAGGATTGTCATGTGTACCCACTACAAATAACGTTTCACCAAGTTAGTTTCTTTGCTCCTAAATGGATTTTGCGTGTAAGCATGTTGCTCTCTGACCTTTTTTGCCGAAAGCAAAATGGCCTTTGCTGATGTTTGGCATCCAAACTATTTTTTAGATGTTATACAACTCTTTATTTTGAATATACTGCAAAGCTACATCTTGTCTTACATGACTAATAACTTAAATTCTTAACATTCAGGGAAGTCTTGTTTGACTATTGTGACATATGCCCGCTACGACAGCTTTGAAGAATGGACGGATGAACGAGTGAAGAAAAGGGGGCACGATTATGAGAATTTGAAGATGGACATTGCAAAAACATTAATAGATAATGTGATGGAGTATTTTCCACAGCTCAAAGACAGGGTATGTTTTTGTCTGATGTTGGACATGGTGATAGAGGAAATGCTGGATCTATTTGAAGTATTGTTCACTGTTTCTATATTAAGAAAATCATTTAATTGATAAATTAAGGCAAAATATAAATAATCAACAAACTGCTTCCACTTTGGTCACTCAATCCATGACTGTTTGTGGTACTCTGCTGTGCGCAATTGGCTGTCCCGTTTCACCCACATAACATAACAGTCAATTCACTTTACAGTATATTCTGTGAAGCGCTTTGAGACATCTCGAAGACGTGATAAGGCGCTATATCAAACGCAAGGATTATTATTATTATGTGTACCAACCTGGCTTGCTTTATGTATCTGAAATCTATCTAGGTTGAGTACTTTAAAGCTGGCTCTCCGCTTTCACATCAGTTCTACATTGCTGCTTCTCATGGGGAGATGTATGGCATCCACCACGGGATTTCACGCTTTGCACCTGAAACAATCGCCTCCCTCAGAGCGCAAACACCAGTCGAGAATCTGTATCTGACAGGTAAGCTATCCAAGATATTTAACAACAACAAGTTACATTTGTATAGCGGCGCTTGATGTCGGGAGGACGTCCCAAGGCACTGGACAGTCAGGGATCCGCGCCCGAGCTGGTGGTTGGGGGTGGAGGGCAGTGAGGGTGAGGGTAGGAGAGTGGCTGAAGACACGGTCGAAGAGGAGAGTCTTGAGAGTCTTGAAGGAGAAACCATGAGGAAATCTTCAAGTCCACAACAGAAGAATGATCCCAGATTTATTTTGCTAAATACGATGCAGATCCCCAAGTTCAGCACTCAGTCCTAAATTGCATCTTAAAGAACAGCAGTCAGGAACACTTATCAGTACCACTTGGCTTACTTGGGTGAGCAACTGAGTACCTTTCCCAGCAAGTTTTAGTAATAATGAAATGGGAAAAGTATGGCCAGTGAAGAATAATAAGAAAATGAATAAAAATCAAATTAACATGGAATTTTAACAGAGTAGATTAGTGGGTCTAACCTGGGAATGGTTACAATATATAACGTAATTTACAAAACGTATAGAATAAGCAGCAATAAAAGCAAGATTGTTAAGCCATGCATTATAACATCATACACTATGGTGTCTTATCAAATAAAGTATGAATGTTATTAATTGAAAATCGATATATTCAATGGAATTGTACAGCCAACGATGTTTGGAGGATAGTATCTGAAGCATAAAGAAAGTTTGAATTTTAAGGACTTCGAAACATCTGTTTTAGTTGCAGTTTTCAACATTTTTCAGTTTTCTTTACATTGATCTAATAACAATGACACACTCTGATGCATTTTTTTTAAAATCAATGTCATGTGATGTGATTCTATGTCAGTTTGTTTGCATTGTGTATACAAAAAAACAGAAAAATCGATTGCATTGACTGTGGAACTGAGAATGACAAATAACCATTTCGATGTCTTAATCATTTTATCCCTCAATTGTTCCAGGTCAGGATATATTTTGCTGTGGGTTTGTAGGAGCAATGCAAGGCGCAGTTCTCTGTGCCTCAAGAATCCTTGGTCGAAATCTGTATGTGGACGTCATGAAACTTAAAAAGCAAATTAAAAAATCCCAAAGTAAGAAGAAAGCCTAGCATTGGACTTCAAATTCAATCTGAAAAGATGTGATTATAAGTACTGCTTGGATTTAGGTATTGTGCTCATAATGTCTCCACATCTTGAAGGCTTCGTATCAATTTTCATACCATAGTCTGAGCAGATATGATCTATGCTGTTCAAGGGTTTTAAATGAAATTTAGTTTGATCAGTGTCACTTAAATCCTATTAGACATGAGCCAAAGAACAAAACTGCATTTTTTAAAATTTAATTATTTTTAATTTTAATGTAATTATCGACGAAATATCAATGCAATTATTGCTTAATATGGTGATTTATAGAAATCACAACATCGATAAACCATGCACTATAATCTCCTACACTATGGTGCCTAAACAAATGAAAGAATTAATTTTATATACAGAAAATCAATGTGATATTCAAAATATCTTTTATCTCCGAGACAAAGTTGAAGGTACTAAATGCTATATCTCGCATACGAGCACCGAATTTTTTTAATTGTGACTGATATCATGCTTTGTAGACGTGGTCAAGCGACTCACTTGTTTTAGCTTCAAGCGGTCTTGGGGAATGTTGTGGTGTGGTCAATCACTCTCCTGATCAAAATAAAGAAGATTATTTGAAGGAGAAAAAGGGGGAGATTTCAGGGAATTTTTTTTTTGTATACACACACACACACACACACACACACGCACACAGAGTTATTCGGCCGTTAAATGTCCTGCCAGGCACGGTAACCCAGGCAGAGTTCACGTTCGAGAGGCAAATTAGATTTCTAATAGTTTTATCAACAAAAAAAAGGAATCACTTGCAGGGTACGGGACTGAATCGAAGACCGAACGCGTTTCAGATAGGTTGAGCCCGCTCCAAACCCGGCCGGTAAGCGACACTTCAGTCTTAACAACTCGACATTTTTTCTTTCTGGCTGCGAACGATTAACCGCCCGTTTCGTCCCCGACGCGCGAGTCTCCCAAGAGTTGGCGGGTATCCAACTGGCGGGGATCGGGGGGGGGGGAATATCTTGACTGTACGCCCAGTCAGTCCCGCGCGAAGTCTTAAACGTGCGCGTTTTCCACGAGGAAATCGCTGATAATAAGCGATAATAATCCTTGCGGTTGACACGGGCGCCCTGACCGCGTCCTCGAGACGCCTCGAAGCGCTTCGCGGGATGTACGTCCAGTGGAGTCCAGTGGACCCCACCCCACACCCTTTCCCCCCCTTTGAAAACCTTTTTTTCCTCACACACACAAAAAAAAAGACACAGACCCCCCCCAAAAAAAAAGAACCACAAGCACTAACCTGAATTGGGCCGCTCAAATGGACGTCCCGTGGGGCGACTTTTGGGCGGATTTTTGGGCGACCAACGGTTTTTTTTCAAAAAAAATCTCTGGCCGCGAGTCGCCTCAGTGGCGGTTGGGCGCGAGCGCGGGGCGGGGTTAGCGGCGCGACGACGGCGACGGGTGGGTGTTTCGGCGCATGCGCAAGGGGAGGGGGGTGTTTCGGCGCGTGCGCGCGGGGCTAGTCGAAGGTGGTTCGGCGCATGCGCGAGGGGTGTGGTGGGGTTTCGGCGCATGCGCGAGAGGGGTGGGGGTTTCGGCGCGTGCGCGGGGCTGGTCGAAGGTGGTTCTGCGCATGCTCGAGGGGGGGGCGGGGGGAAGAGAAAGCGCGGGAGCGTTTTGCCGGCCGGGCCTCGTCGTGCTGTCCCATGGACGCCCGAGAGCGCAGTAAGTCCCAGGCGTTTGACTCTCGGTCTCCAGAGCAAAAGTGTGTTCATTTGGGTTTGCTGTCACTAGCCCCTGGGAGGGAGGGAGGGAGGGGAAAGGTTCCCGAAGGAAAAAGGGGGGAAAGGTTCCCGAAGGAGAGGGCGGAAGGTTCCCGAAGGAAAAAAGGGGGTAAAGATTCCTTGGAGAACAGGAATGGTTCCTGAGAAGACGGGGGGAAATTTCCTGGAGCAAGATTCGTTAGATGAGGCGAAAGGTTCCTGGAAGGAAAGAGTGGGGGGAATGGTGCTTCGGAGACGACGTGTTCCTGGGGGACAGGGGGAAATGGTTCCTGAGGAAAGGGAAGAGGTTTCTGAGGAAGGGGTTGGTGGTGGGGGAGGGAGGGTGAATGGGTTCCAGGGGGAAAGGTGCCTGGGAATGATGGGTGGGGGAGGGAAGGTTCTTTGGAGAGGAATGGTTCTGGGGGTGAAGTTTCCTGGAGAAAGGTTCTTTAGAGGAGGCGAAAGGTTCCTGAAAAGAGAGGAATGGTTCCTGGGAGGAAAGGAAAGGTTCCTGGTTGGGGGGCAACACTCTGCACTATTTTGTAGACGTGGCTCGATATGAAGCCACGTAACTGCAGGAATGCAAGACACCATTTATGTTGGATCAACTGTGGTCCTCAGAGGTCCGTACACCCTACCAGCCAAAGCACCTATAGGCAGCATTAACTCATCAAGCACAGGTTACCATTTATATTTGTTGCCTATTTCCTCCTTAGACTTCCTCCAGAGTCCTGCAGCGTAGCGGTTAAAGCACTCGCAAGCGAGAGGACCCGGGTTCGATAACCGGGCGTTTGGCAAAACCTTAGGCAAGTTTCCTTACTCCAAGCGCCTCTGTTCACCGAGCAGTAAGTAGGAACACAGTTGTTATTCAATTGTAATAAATCCTTCAATAAATAAATAAATTGGTCACTGAATCCAGGACTGTTTGTGGGATGCTGCCGTGTGCAATTGGCTGACGTGTTTCGCCCACAAAATATGCAGTCAATTCGCTTTACAGCGCTCTTGAGATGTCTCAGCGACGTGATAAGGCGCTATTTCAAATGTGAGGGTTATTATTATTAGACTTGTATACCTCTCATTTGTTTTCTCCTCTTTCTGCTATTTACTTTCACTAAGCACAATTTGTTTTATTATTATTGTTGCAAAGTAGACTTTAATACAAATTTTGCAGAGAAATGTTTGTACTGAGATCTGCAGGGTGTTTATAATATCGATACAACAAGACAAAACAAGTGATAAGATATTAAGTATTCTACATAATACACAGGATCTAGAATTCTGATTGCGTATAGCTTTTTAAAAAATAGATTGAAAGAAATTTGAAAAGTGCATGTAACCCAAACCTGGAAAATTACTGATTGTTTATTCGCTTCAGGCAGGATTATTCTTTCCATGACCTGATCACTTACAAGAATGGATAGCAGTCATTCTTCTGTACAATATGAACTCCTGGCTGAGATTGGAAAAGGCGCTTATGGAAAAGTTTACAAAGCAAGAGACCTGAAGAATAATGGGAAGTTTGTGGCTCTGAAGAGAATTGAAATTCCCAGAAGAGAAGAAGGAATCCCTTTCATAGTAATTCGAGAAGTGGCCTGGTTAAAGAAGTTGGCAGTTTTTGACCATCCAAATGTAATTAGGTGATCTGTACACTTTTTCAATGTTCTTTTCTACTTTTTTATCCTTTCCACCAAATTTGTTGGCAGCATCAATGCATATGTATCTTTGCTTGGTGTAACAATTAATCGATGAATTTGCCAACCTAATAGACTAACACTATAGTTTACCTCTAAACATAGAGATGAAGCTTACAATACTTGTTCATTTCATCAAGCTTATCTGTTCTGAAGACTTACTCTTTATTGCTCAGGTTATTTGATGTACACCTCACCCCGCAAAACGATCAGATGATGAAATTGACACTTGTGTTTGAACTCATTGACCAAGATCTATCAGCTTTACTGATGAAAGTGGATGAGCGAGGACTTCCCCATAAAAAAATAAAGGTATAAAATAGTGTGCACATTCTGCCAATAGCATCTCATTGAGAAATTATGAACTTTTTAAAATGTTTTGCCAGGAAGACATTCTTAATTCATTCTTAAATTGAACAGAGTAACTTTGGAGTCTTTCTTTTCTAAATCTTTATTCAACATCTAAATGCTTAATTTTCTCTGGCAAATTTTCTATTAGAGGGTATTTGCGCAATTAAGCCTTTGCCTTACATTAAAATCTAAAATGACTCCATAATCAGCCGTGATCTGTAATGAAAAGTAAAACCAAAATATCTTGGAAAGTATTGAATGCTGTAAGTGAAGGTTGTGTTTTTCTCTTTTAACTGATTTAAAATATACACACAGGATATGATGATACAGCTGTTTAGAGGTCTGGATTTTCTCCATTTAAATCATGTGGTGCATCGAGATTTGAAGCCTCAAAATATTCTAGTCTCCAGCACTGGCCAGGTAAAGTTGGCTGACTTTGGTCTGGCACGAGTGTACAGCTTTAACATGGCACTGACACCTGTGGTAAGTTTCCAAAGCTATGTGTTTGTAATAAATATGTTAATCCTTGCATTTGATATAGCGCTTATCACGTCTTCGGGACGTCTCAAAGCACTTCACAGAATATACTGTAGAGTGAATTCACTGTATGTTTTGTGGGTGAAATGAAGTAGCCAATTCTGCACAGCAGCGTCCCACAAACAATCATGGATTGAAGTGACCAATTTATTATCATTTTTTGAAGGAATTATTACCCCCAGAAAAGTGATCTGCCAATCAACTAACAATCAGGTTCCTACTTACTGCTAGGTAGACAGAGGCGTGTGGAGTAAGGAAACTTGCCTAACATTTTGCCCTGCCGGGAATCAAACCCAGGGTCTCTCGCTTGCGAGGCGAGTGCTCTAACCACTGAAGCAAAGGACTCCACAGCTTGTTTTATTAGAGCAACCGTAAACAAATATGGTTGTTTGAAAATAATTGAATACGGCAAATAAATCTATATTCTGTAGCGAATGTAGAATTCTGTTTGGAGATTGTTGACCAGGACACCGGGAGAAACTCCCTTCTCTTTTCAAATAGTGGCAAGAGACAACTCTTTCAGAGAGCTAAGCTAGCAGGAGCTAGCACGAAGGGCCAAGTGTCCTCCTTTAGTGAAAGTAAAATTCTGAAGTTCTATGTAATTGAAGTCTATATTTCTGTAAATTAAATTAATTTATAATATCAAACTTTGAAAATGATCTGAGGAATTTCACATGTAGGTATTTACTTTCATCTTTTAAACTAAATAAGCACTTGTTTATTTCTGTTGGTCTTGTCAACAACACAACAATTTCCTTCTTCTAGAAAGTATTATTAATAATAATATTTTTACGTGAACCTTTAAATATTTATCTTGAGGTAATCATCCAGTTACATTTCAAATGTTGTGAACTCAGCCATGGTATTCCGTACCCCACTAATCCACTGTGCAAGATAATATTCTAACCTCTCCTTTCTTCAGAAGTTTTAAAACAAATGTTAGCTTTGAGTTTTACTGATTTATCGCTGTATTGTGTCAGCACCACCCAGTGGCACATAATGAAAAGTGAGAACCTGCAGTACAGTACATGGTAAATACGTTGTTGAAATATTGTAATAAAATATTTGTGTTTCACAGAACCGGAGATAGTGTTTTAAGGTTACTATGCTTTATTTTTGCATTAGCAACAATATCTATATTAGTGCACAATGGTTTATAACTTATTAAACAGCAGATATTTCTACAATTTATTATTTTATTAAGGTTGTTACTCTCTGGTATCGAGCACCAGAGATTCTGCTGTATTCCAGATATGCAGCAGGAGTTGACATTTGGAGTGTTGGCTGCATATTTGCTGAAATGGTTCAATTAAGGTAAGGTTTCAACTCTGATAATAAATGCACAAGTATTCACTTTAATAATTCCATGCTTGAAATTGAATGATCTCCTTCATTAGGTTTCCAAAATAAATATAGTGGTTTTAATCATACAGCTGCTGATTATGGACGAATCTCTTCCTATGGTGGTCTTATACCTTATCGTTTCAAAACAAAGTATGATTAAATAATAATCCTTGCATTTGATATAGCATTTGAGATGTCTCAAAGCGCTTCACTGAATCTACTGTAAAGTGAATTGACTGCATATTTTGTGAACGAATAAAGAGATATCTTAGTTTCTTAACCTACTTAATTCATACTAGAACCAAATTATTCTCACATTTGGTTATGATGGACAGCTTCTTTTAAAAGGTGGACATATAAAATCTTTTTTTTTAAAAAGTGCAGCTGAATAACCAGTTTTCAACAAGAACTCGGTATCATAGAAATGAGGCCTGTGTAAGGAAACATCAGGTAGACTTTTTCACTCTTGTAATTGTAAAATGGACGGATAGTATTAAAAAGTAAGGTATCTGGAAATAAACTCTGGTCTGAAATGCTGTACACTGTCCAGCGCCTTGGGACATCCTCCCGACGTGAAAGGCGCCATACAAATGTTATCTTCTATACATTCTGTGCTTTCAGACCATTGATGGTATCAAGTTTCTAGTTGCAGTGCAGTAGAGAAACAAGTCTGATTTTGTCAGGAACTAAATAATAATAATCCTTGCATTTGATATAGCGGTTTATCACGTCTTCGAAACGTCGCAAAGCGCTTCACAGAATATAATGATGCATATTTTGTGGGCGAAATGTAAATGACACAAAACAAAGTCTCTGTTTGCGTGTTTCATTTAATAGTTTTTGTTTCTGTTGCTTTATAGGCCCTTGCTTTGTGGGATTTCAGATATTGATCAGCTTCACAAAATATTTGAGTGAGTATTACTCAACTTTGCACGGATATAGATTTTGCTTAGGATAATGAATTCATTGCCTGAGAACCCAGTGCTTAAATGGCAGTATCCATCTATGTTAACTGTTGTTAAGATGGTTAACGTAGTTTGGAATGAAAGTGCCTTGGGACGTCTTCCCGACGTGGAAGGCCTATACAAATGTAATTTTGTATTGTATTAAAATAATAGTATACTCCACCCGCATGCACCTCTGTTGTAGGAATTAAGGCTTTATTTTGTCCCTATAGTCATCTGGTTTAGATTCTGATCAGTGTTTCTAGTAAAACAGAATTTGATTAAGGTTAGGTATTTAGCTCTAGGAAGTGGAATAAACTTCTACTTTGAACACCCACTTACTTAGCCAACCATTGACCTACCCCATCCTCAGAAGAAGATCCCTTGCTATATCAACAACAACAAAATTACAATTGTACAGCACCTTTCATGTCGTGAGGAAGTCCCACATCAGTATAGATTTTTCCATGTACCTCAATAGCTATCATAGATTGTCAAATCAAGCCCAAATTATGGACAGTTTAAAGCTATGAGCTCATGTCCACTAATAACTTGACACTGTCCAGTCTTATTTCACACGGGGCCCATTACAGTTACCAGAGAATGAAGGTGCTCATTTCAACAGTCTATGTTGAATTTGAAATGCTTCTCGAAATGCTAGTTTTGAACTTTGAAAGTGGTTGCAGTGGAATAACACACAGAACGGAATGATGAAAATAGTGCTTAACATGGTGTTGTTTCAGGTAGAAGGCAGGGCTTCACACCAACAATTTGGTACTTAATAATAATAATAAAATAATAATAATCCTTGCATTTGATATAGCGCCTTATCACATCGTTAAGACGTCTAAAGTGCTTCGCAGAATTATACTGTAAAGTGGATTAACTGCAGTTTGTGGTAATCTCACCATCTGTTAACGAAAGGAGAAATCAAAGCTTTGTATTTCTCTCAAGAGGGAAGAACGAAAACACTGCCTTAGGTGAGACTCACTTCTAAAGAGTGACATTGGGCCTGGGCGTCTTTCCCACCAAACTGGAACTCAAAAAAAATAGAGTTTATAAACTACTCAATTGTTGCTCAGATATTGTCTTGAACTTTGTGAAAGAATTGGTGAATCTTTTCTGTGTTTATATCTGACTGAGTGCTTGAAAATATGTGAGTAGGCAGTAAAAAGGTACACCATTCCTGCTTTATCATTTTATAGAGGTTTGAGGTTCAGCATTATTTTAGTCGTGACTAATTCAACAACAACAAAACATTATCTTCCGTAACAGAGTGCACCTGAATCACAATAAACATGCTTTGCACTTAGTGCAATGTAACCTTTCGCTGTTGACTGCTGCTATAATTCATCTACGGTAGGCTTTGTATTGTCAGGTTTATTAACTCTTGCAAACATTCAGCTTAAAACACTAGCCAGCTTGTGATTCCTTTTAAGAGAGCGTGTGCATTGAAATTTAATTTCTAAAAAAAGTATATAAACTTGCATAGGAAGTGACGGCTGTAAAGGAGTTGTTCAGTAAATATGCTTTTACAGAGTGTTAAAGTTGTTTTGAACCGTGGCAGGGAAATGTAATGCTCAGAGAATTACCAAGCTGTGACATTTGCTGTGACAGCTGTTTCTGCCCTTCTGCTATTGACCTGTTAGTCTCTCAAAAGTAAAGCTCTCCTTATCTATTGTTTTATGACTGGCAAGTAACAAGTCGAAACACGATAGAGATGTACACATTGAGCTTCCGCGCGTGTTTTTTACACTTTATTTCTACATAGGGATGTCCGACTGAGGTGAAAGGCGCTATCTAAATACAATTTGTTATTGTTCGACACATTGGTCAATGTGAACAAAAAATCATTGTGCAGGAGAGAGTAGATTGCATTCATACAGAAACAATTTACTTAGAGTGAATTCCTTAAACATGTTTAACAATGAAGTCAGGGAGAAAAAGTAAGGTTGAGAGTTGAATTCAGCAACGGAATCTGTATCGTGTGTTGATATGTGCATGCCTTCGGCATCACTGGATCTCAGCCCATGTTCTGCGAGCGATTTTTAGTCAGAATTTGGTCTAATTGCAAACATGCATTGCACTGAAATGCTTTTATGTTTGCAGTACCCTGGGGCTTCCTGAGGAGGTGGATTGGCCTGCAGACTCTCCACTGCCCTACAGTTCCTTTACTCCCAGGCCAAACAAGCCCACTGAAGACATTGTGCCTAAATTCGACTCATTAGGAAAAGATCTGCTGCACGTGAGAGACCTCAGCAATGTTTCTCAGTTAACACCACATGTCACTTGTGTTTCCATTATCTTTCTCCTTGTTTCTTGCATTTTTCACTGACACTTCCACCACATTTCCTCCAGTCTGCACTGCACTTCCCCCAAATCACCACTGAGAAAATCTTCGCCATACATCGCTTGTATACCTCTCGGGCAGCAAATTGTGAAACGTTTGCAAATCTCTTCTACGTCAGTTTTTTTTTCCAACTTCTCATTTTTTGCCATCAAAAAAATGTTTTCCTTAAAAATGTCAACTTTACTGTCAGCACAGTTACACCCTTGACCACAATCTTTGGGTTCCAAGACCTTCTCTTTGTCGGTATAGTATCGCCTTCACCTTGTACTTTGAACTACAATGTCAGGCTTGAAACACTGTGCCAAGTGGACTAGGGCAACACACCTGCAATTGCTGTCTTAAATTATTCAATTCAGTGCATTATTTGTTGTGGAATCCTCTGTGGGGTGTAAATGATGTGAATTCCATAATACCATGATCCCAGAAGCAGTTTTGTAATATAAAAACAGCATTAATCAATATTGGATTAATAGTCTTTAACACAAATTATTGCTCACACATGAGAAATGTGATTCTATAGTCTTGAGTCTTGTTTTAAGGCTCAATCATTTCTTTTTTACTTTTTCTTCCAATTAATTTTATTGCACTTTTCTTTCTCCCCTCTCTCCAGAAATGCCTGCACTTCAATCCAGGCAAAAGGATCTCCACTTATGAGGCTCTTGCTCATCCATACTTCAACGATACGTCAGAACATTTTGACGTTGAGGTCAAGAAGGAATAAGGGAGCATTTGTCTCTTAACTGAAAGAAGGCACATCTCTGTAGTTGCTGCCTACACCACCCACAGAAACACTAGCGAAAGAGAGCACTATTCCTGATTAGCACGCAGTAATGCATTCAGTAATGAATGGATATACCCCTACCAACGTATCTTAAGGCCAACCTTGGAAGATAACCTACTGCTGTCCCAATGTCATTGCTTCTAGTTCCCACACCATGTAACAAGATGATCTCGTTGAGGTTGAGAACCTTACAGCCAGCACACTTTCATCACATCAGTCTGGTCAGCATTCACACTCTAATCCTAGAGACGAAAGGATAATGGCAAATGCCCTGTGCCACCCAGACTGCAAGAATGGTTAAGCAAAATCATTGAACGTGCCTTTATTTTAAACCAGGCATTATCACAAATAGTCAAGAATAAAGAATTGGAATGTGAATCAAAATCAGGAACATTTAAGATCAATCTTAGCAGTTTGTTCATCTGTGAGACCTGAACTCAGCACAATAATTGTTGATCCCAGTGACTGGGTTTAAGATGTCATTGTGTAGATTGATGAGCCTTTTAGCTAAATATCAGTAAATATGGCAGAAATGACCGTCTGTAGTACCCGATTGTATCGGGATTCAAGCAATGCAAGTTGAACGGGAGTAAGCGGGAAATTATTTTATTTTATTTTAACACTAAGATATATTTTAGCTGCAAAACTATTATTTTTTGAATTTTACATTATGCTGAAAGAGAGGAAAGTGAGTGAAGTCAACTCATTTTCAGGACACAATTGTTTTTAAAGAAAATTGTTATGAAAAATAGAGAAGCAGTTGATTGAGAGGACACTTGCCAGGGAACAGAGGTTTTCAGAAAATAAAAACAAAACTTGCATTTGTTACAAAGTACTGAATGCATTGGCATTATATCTCACTACACTGCAGGAATAACTAATTTATACTAACTTGACTGCAAGTGTTAATATTTGTACAATTTTTGTTGTGTGTTCTGTTCTATGTATTGTGGCTGTTTAATCGCTATTTTAATTGTATTTTTGTATAATTTTTTTCACCAGTTTTCAAGTACATTGTATTCTGACTGTTCCAAATTACATCAATCACTACAATCTTTAGTGTATTTTAAGAGATTCTAGATTGTCGCTTGGAGACTGAAGCTTCGAGAGTTGAGGTCAATAAGTGCAAATTGTTGTTGTTACAGAGTTATAATTTTTTTAATTGCACTGTGCTGGAAGAACATGTGCAAATAAAATTTAAACTTGAGTGATTAAAAAGAGAAAAAGCCTTTTGTGAAATAACCTTACCTCTGCCCTTACCAACAGGAATGTTTTCCACCTCGTCATATTTGTTAGTCACATATAAGTGCAACAGCAGTTATTACCTTAGTGGAAGGGAAAAGTAGTCAAACTACTTTAGGTGATGGGAGAGGTGAACAAAGTGGCAGAGAAAAAAATTTGGCAGGTCTAAAATAACCGTAGTTAAGCATTTAGAACTCAGGGCTGGCCAGTACTTTTCAGTGAGCTATTCAGTTTGATGTCTAATCTTAAAATGATGGCGACTATCAAAGTTATTTATAATGTACCTAAAATTAAATGATTTACAAAATGTCTCTGTTGGGAAAAATCTGCCAAGCTCTGCTCATAACAGCATCGTAAATTTGCAGAATATATATATAATATATATGGTTTCATTGTAATGCAATACTTTACATTCATGAATTGAAGTCTTACGTAATGGAACAGATCATATATTTTATACTTTAGGGACATATTAGATCTTGGAGTCAACTTGCCTGCTACTAAATTACTTGGTGTTTTGTTTTTTTTAATCTCGCCAGTACAAGCCAATACTGTGCGTTCAGTCCAGGAATGTGACTTGCGACCGTTTTATCTCAATAGAAACTGTTCTGAAATACAGTATAGTCCAAAGCTGTGTTGGACCAGTTCAAAGAGCACCCAAAATAATTATGTGAAGGAAGAATGATTTACTTTCATATGAAACATTCTCAACTATTTCACCCACAAAACACAGTGAATTCATTTAACAGTATATCCTGTGAAGCTCTTTGAGACATCTCGAAGAAGTGATAAGGCGCTCTTATCAAGTGCGAGGATTATTACTATCTTGCAATCGTGGCCTTGAGGTATGTCTGGAATATTAGAGGTTTAAAGAGTTTTTTTTGTGTGAAGGACGTCCTTCCCTCTATCCCATTCTGAGATGATTAAAGTGGAGAAATGTCTCCCGTGTCGAAACATTTGGTTAAGACGCAGAATTGTCCCAAGGTTTGATTGTAGTCCATTGTAGTTTCTCTTGTTTTGGTTCATAAGACGAGCCTTTCAGATGCTGCCTGTTTGTAGAAACAAAAAACAAGCGTTTTGCACACAGAAGATCCCACAAATATCTAAACAATACCAACTTAGTGAAGGATGGTTGGGCAGGACATCAGGAGGAACTAACCCTCTTCTCTTTTTGAAGAACGGGCAGTTTTAATAAGTTTAATACTTCACATGAAAAGTGAAAGCGCCTGAAATACAGCGTCGGCCCAGTATTTGAACATTGAGCCCATAATTCACAACACTAGGTTCGAACCCATCACCGTCTGCCCCCCAGAGCCAATAGAGCCACCAAGTGAGCCAAGCGGACGCCAAACAAAACCATTGGGCTGCACGATAGGAAATTGGTCTTGAATTATGAGCAGTGCAACATCTTTTAGCAGAAAGAAGCCACCGTTTCTGACGAGCGCAGACTGCAGACTTGTGGGCATTGGGGTCTGTGAGGAAATCATTGCTGTTGGATGACATTTGTCACAAGAGGGAGCATCGAGCAAAAAGTCTACAGATGGCCTTGTTTTAACGTCTCACCACGACGGCAGTCTTTGCAAGGAGATAAAATGGCTCAGCGTTGACCCGAAAACCTGTAGCAACCTTTGAAGTTTGCAGACTGGCAATCTACGGGATCGTAAATTATATTCCTCGAGTCATATCCGTAACCGCAGACAGACAGAGCACAAAGCATAAATGACGACTCACAGGGGTGTGTGATCAGAAAGTCCCCGAGAAGCCGGGGGTGTGTGATGCGGTTGGGCTAGTCGAGGTCAAATGGCAAAGTTGACGAGTTGTACGACAAACAAGAACCAATACAAATGGTTAACCGTGTGCATTGCGCAACTTGACCAGTACTGACCTTGAGGCTTTCAACTAAACCAATTAAACTGCATTTGAAATGCAGAGAGAGGCAAATTTAACAGTTCGGCATTTTAATAAGGAGATTTCATTCGAGCCACTCCTGTCCCCAACTTATCCCCCAACTTACTACTATTTGTTCCAGCTCATGTTTTATTGACCAAAATAGAAGGCAAGTTAAGCAGACCCAGTGGGAATTGAACCCCAACCGCTGCAGACACAGGTCCCCTTACTTAAGCAACGGGGCTCCCAACATAGTTCTGGCAAGTAAATTGCTTTTGTATCCGTAGTTAAAAACTGGTTAAAAAGTGCAAAGCAGGTAAATTGGCGTCTGAATGTGTGTTGCATCAGGTTGTGTTATATCCACACCCTTTGGCAGTCCCTTCGCCTCACTCCCTCACCTGCCTCCTCCAAGGCACATCTCAAGACCTTTCTCCTCAACCACGCCTTCGGTCACTCTCCTACCCCTACCCTCCCTCCCTGCCTTCAACCCCTCCCGATCCCAACCCCCTAATAAACGGGAATTCATTCTGGTTTTGTCCCAAATCTCCTTCACCCCAGAGTGTGCTTCATCCCACTTCCTCTCTGCAATGCTTCCTCTTTTGGCTCGCTCTGTCTGACAAGAGTTAGCAACAGTACGTGGCAATAGAAAGGGAGTTTTAAAACTTGTCAGTTTGCACGCAATACCCAGGACGAGGAAAAGACACAGTTATTACACAAATTTTGATGGGGAAACCTCTAAAATGAACCCACGAAAGACCGGCAGGGAATAGATGTTTAGAGCGAATCACAATCGAATGCATTTCTTTCTTGTGAAGACCGATCTATTTATGGCCCGTGTGAAGAGATTTGTCACTGAAGCTGTGCCAGGATGCTCTCCTACCTCCTCTCGTGTGAATCGGCCTCAATTTCCCCCGCGATGGGGGCTCATTAGCCTAAGCCATTCCCTGGAAACGCACACAAATCAAGTTGATCTCAGAAGCTGACATCAGCACTCCCGCGGAGGTGAATGCGTCACTACCTTTCTGCAGTGTTAACACGTGAAAGAAGAGCCTCGTAAACTGCCTGAAGCATTTCACCGCGTTACAGAAACTGGCAGCAAACCTTTCAATCCGTCGCATACGGTTCGCCCACAACCACAACATCCAGTGAATCCACTTTACAGTCTACCCTGTGAAGCGCTTTGAGACATCTCAAAGACTTGATAAGGCGCTGTATCAAATGCAAGGATTACTGTCATTATATTTAGATGTTGCTGGGTTATTTTACTGGATCTCCAGTTACCTTGGCCCTTTTTCTCAGTTCCTAGTCACTCCGACCTTAATCAAAGCCCTTTGTAATCACACACGGCCAAGATTCGGAAATGTATTGACAAGTAGGGAGTCTAACATTCACTCTTTGCTCGCAGATTCTCCGGTGGGACTTGAATACGATCGACCATTTGATGGTGTTCAGCCTCAAAAAGACACTCTCTATGATCACGTTTTTCAGTCGAATTACTTTGGACATTGACAAACCTCTCAGTAAACCATAACTACATTAACTTGGACTTTGTGGAGTCCTGCAGCTCAGTGGTCAGAGCACTCGCTTTGCAAGAGAGAGACCTGAGTTCAATTCCAGGCAGAGGGCGAAACCTTGGGCAAGTTTCCTTACTCCACACAGAGCCTAATAATAATCCCTCCAAAACCAAAAACATTAATAAATTGGTCATTTTCAATCTACGACTGTTTGTGGGACATTGCTGTGCACAATTGGCTGCCGCGTTCGCCCACAAATATACAGTCAATTCACTTTACAGTATATTCTGTGAAGCACTTTGGGACATCGAGAAGACGTGAAAAGCGCTATATCAAATGCAAGGATTATTATTATTATTATTTATGCAGCTCCTTTGCGCTAACAATAAACTCTTTCAAAGGGCTTTGCAAAGCAAACATTACTTTGATATAAAGTGTGAAGCCATTAGGCCACATCTTTCCGCTCAGACAATATTTAGGTGAATGGACTTGAAATGCAACTGGTCTCAAAGTTATGCTGAGAAAGATTTACGGTGTGAGTGAGTTTGTGTGCGCGAGCGAGTGAGTGTGAGAGTGTGTGTGTGTGTTAGGTCATTGCATGGTATGGATTTTCTCTATGCATTTCGATCTATAAACTGGACAAACAAACACATCCCGAAGACAGGGTGACCTGTGCTGACATTATGAACCGCCGGTCACGCATCCCTCGAGCCGGCTTCGAAATAGGAACTTTACCTGCGAGACTCAGACGAGGAAAAGGCTTCGGTAAACTTTTTAATTCAATTTTTAGACTTATTTTAAAAAATGAGATCATTGTAAAAATTGCAAAGTGACTAATTTGCAGTGAGCCTAACTCTCTGGGGTTTTATTTGAGGTATTACTAATGAACTGGTGGACGGTTCCCCCAAATAAAACCAGTCCCTCCCTTTGTGGTGATTGCAGACACCCTGCCGTGCGCAAATTGGCCTCCGCGCTTGTGCCTACCAAACACACAAGTCACTGCGTCGTCTTGCAGCAAATCCTGCCAAGCATTTTGGTACATTGAGCTTCGAGAAGTTTTATTTTATTTTATTTTTTTTGGAAGCTGTTTTGAATTTCCGCAGTTGTCTTTGCAGCGGGAGGTTACTGGGTGCGTCTGACCTCATTTTACCTCCGTGCCTTACGACTGTCAGATTTATCTCACAACACAAATCATTAGCCACAGAGCCAGCTCCCCCTCCCCCTACCCCGGTCTGAACTTGGTGACGGCTTCAACCTCCGCGCTCTGCACAGGCAATACATGGTACAGGAAGTCCTGTCCAATCATACAAGCAGCTTACAGATGTTTTCTTAACGCTTTGAAGACCAGAGTTCTCTCTCAGTGCCCCTCGCATTGAAATGGTATTGCTCTGAGCGCTGCGAGGCCTCAGATTCCCCCTAGTCTTAGCCTGCGAGGCTGTTGACCCTCAAGTCTTAAGAATCCTGGAAAAACTCCTAAAGTGGAACCCGCAGTTCTTAAAATCAAACCTCCTAAAAATCCATCCCTTTGTCCCTATCAATGTGACTTGTGTTCTTAAAGCCCTGTACCGTAAAGC